CAACAGCATGTTGACAGTTAATTATTTCAGGTAAAGGCATTTTTTTCTGATGATCTGGTTGTACTGATGAGTTTGTATATCAATACTGCTGTACCCTGTACAAGTCACAGAAGGGGCTTTGGCTTATGAAATGACACAAATGAAACCACAAAAGTAGGTTATAGCTCTTCTGAAAAACTAAGTAGCAAGAGGGAACATTCCTGAGCATCAGAACTTGGCTGTATACAGTAAAATTTTAGAACTCCTCCCTGGCATGGATTTGTATTGGGTCAATTAACACTTTCCCTACCAGTTCCTGTATGTAGTTCAGGAGATAGCATGAGCTGCAGACCATTTCTAATAAGTGGTCTGCATACTATGACCATCCTGTTTTAGAGAATAAGAGTTTAGCTTAATTAGTTGGTAGGGACACAGGCTGTCCTGTGATAGTGATACCGGGAAATAAAGGGTTAACATTGTGCCTGCTTTCTTAAGTAGTCGCTGTGCTTGGTGAAGCAGAACTGTAGGAGTTAAAGTTGCTAGAATGGTGAAGCAGAATTGTAGGAGTTACAGCTGCTAGGCAGAATTGTAGTAGATAAGATTCACAGCTTAATATTTAAGACATTCTTGTTCAAATAGTATCTTTAGAAAGAAAAGGAACAAAAGATAGCCAGAGTAACAAAATTTGCAAACTCGACAAGTTTCTGCTTTAAGATACATAAAACCAGCTTGTACCGAACCTGAAGTCTGGATAGGAGCCAAAATGAGTCTGCGTGAAAGGAAGAGGTTACTCACTGTGATGAAGAGGAACTACAAGCGTTCATCCTGACGACCCCCTAACAAGGACCACCAGGAGGCACTGCGCAGGCACACCAATGGAATGAGTGCCAGAAAACTAATTATAATACTAGATGGGAATAGGTTTTGCATATGTATTAGGCGTGAAGCAATCTCACGTTTAGGTAATCATTATATGTAATATAAACGAACTGAGTGTCAAAGGGGGGTGCGCATGCTTTTGGAGGAGCAACCCCCAAGCGCCTCAGCGCTGAATAAAGCATACCTACTTTACAACTCTAACGAGTTGTGGAGTCAATCCATGTATCAATAGTTAGCCTTGATGCCAGACTCAAGGCTAAATCACATTCAATTTTTATTGCTGACATTGTCACAAATGTTTACTGCACTTTTTGGAAGAAGCTTCTGATGGTACTGGAGCAGTTTTATTTCTTACTCAAAGCTATTTGCAAACTCTCTTCTTCCTTGTTTTGCAACTTGACAGCTCACTCTATATAGAGTCTTGCTGCTATGCAAAGAGTGACAGCTGTACCTTTGCTGGAATGACAATATTTATACAACAAAGGGATTTCTTAAGGGTATGCTTGGCAAATGCACATAGAACCTATTTTTCATTTGTTTGCTAACAGTCAAAATTGTCTTTAAAGCTTAGTGACATAAATAAAGAAATCAGTACTCTTTCTTTCAGTTATTTCGAGAAAACTGCATGAAACAAGGAGAAAACAAGTACAGTTTTGCAGAGAAAGAAATCTGCCTGAAACCAACCAGACTGTGAACAGTGCCTAGCAAATACACTTTTTCTGGCCCAACTGAACAACAAACATGTCACATGGACAAACACCCACTAAATTTAAGGAGGTTTTTGGAAGTCTCTCTGAATCCTTCAACAGTAGGCAGCCCTCAGAAAAAAAAACAGGGTGCTGGGCAGAAAGCACACAGATCCCTCAAGGAAGACCCCGGGCCTGAGGCATTGCTGCCTTCCCTGTCCCCTTCCTCTGCCCTGGCTGTGTGGCCAGCTGTGTCCTTGAGGTGCCCAGCGTCAATGAAGAGGTTTGTTCCTAGAGATCCTGACATTTAAGCGTGCTTTCACCTCCCAAATCATTACAGAGGCTGCCACGCTTGCTCAGCCAAACACAAATGGATAATTGCCTACACTTTTCTTTTACGATGTGTTTAAGATATACAAGTATTTTGCTTTTCTCTTAGGAAACAGGGTGCTGAAATAATTGCACTGTTGTGGAGCAAACACGCAGGCTTGTAATTTTTTTAAAACTTTGCACTCCAAATCAACCTATAAAAAGTCATCAGCGCAGTTTTGCATGGCAGAATATTATTTTTAATACCTTCTTTTTAGTTGCCTTTTTTTTTATCCCTAAGAGTTTGCATTTCTTCACTTGAGAAGAACTCTTTAATGGACTTTTTGTTTATTCTTTAAATGAAAGCTGATATTTTTCTGTAATCCTATGACTTTGGAAAACAGTTTTAAAAAAGAGACAAAGAAATTTCTGGTAAAAATTATTACAACTGGCAAGGCAATGCAGAAAGATGCCCAAACTTCTCAAGCTATTTCCAAGGTACTACTAATTTTATTATGATACAGTAGTATGTATGACAGTGTATACCATATAGTATGTACTATATTCTACTAGGATTTCAATTACACCATTATCTAGATCTGCTAGAATGGCTTTAAACTTCGTTGCGGTACCAGTGAACTTTTTTTTTTTTTTTGTCACAGAGGTGCGTTTCCTTTTCATTACAGAAATTAGTGCTGGTTGAAATGAGAGAAATGTCTCCTGAAATACTTCCAATATAGTCCTATCCGCACCAGATGATAAAAATATGTGTAAAAAGTGTGACATGAGATATTCTCACTCCAAAACAGAATGATTTGTGTCTTTGACACTGCTATAACACATTTGCACTGAAGATGCGAACTTGAGTGGCAGGACGTTTCAGCTTTTCAATAGAGCAGACTTTGGTGCGGGCAAGGTCTGTCTACTTAGATGGTTGGGCCTCCACAGCTGCCATTTGTCTGATGGAAGACCAAGTACCAAACATATGGTCTTTGAAACAGCCATTGTGGAACAACTATTTCACAGGAAACATGCCTGAGAATCTGGTTTTGAATGGCAGCCAGGGGATTTTATGTGGTCCTGGTCTGCGTTTCAGCCCAGTGTGCACAAACTGCCTCTTTCCTGCAACAAGTTTCAGTGCCTGGTCTCCCCCTTGATGTATTTTTAAAAATGAAATTTAACACAGGGCCCTATTCAGCCGAAAAAAGCTCCTGCAGCTGGTACTGCCTGAGCAATGTGAGTCTCTTGTGCCCTGAAGATATTAATACAATACTTAAAGCAAAAATCCCCCCTTTCCAGCAGCCACAGAGGAGACAATTAGACAAAACAATAATCCCACCTAGCAGAGCTGTTGTTCTGCTCTCTATCATAGAAGAGAAAGTCATGCCTGTCCATGGTGTCTCTTTCTTCTGGGTCTAACAGGGCAGCAGAGAGCACCGGCTGAAAATAATTTTTCTTGGCCAAGCCTAAGTAGGAGAAATGGTAACAGACCTGTTCCATGCTCTGGTATTTCAACTACCCCTTCTGGGACTAGAATATGCAGAAGTATGTGGATGGAAGAAGCAATTTATAAGGCTTCATAGCAGAAATCTGACAAGAAGGATGTTATTTCCTCTGATTTCTGGGAGTAACTTACAGGGAGAAAGAAAAGGGAATTCTGATGTGCCTCCATCTTAGTCCAAGTGGGTTTTGTGAGGTTTTAATTTCCCCCTTTCTCAAGAGTTATTCTGCGTATTTGTGACAGAAAAGTAGAAGTGGGAGTTAATCCTGCAATTACATTAATGAGGTTTACAAAATACAGAATCAGGGAGAGATTAAGGTATGAGAGGAACTCTGAAGGTCATGATATGAAGGGGATTCCCTATTGTCTTTCTGTCTGAGAGAAAGCTTATTCCCAGAACTCTGATCCAGACCACTGCATAGCCTGTAGGAGCTTGCATGAGTTTCAGAGATTTCCCACTGGAAGCAGCCTGCACTGGAATATGCCTAGTCAAAATGAAGAACAGGTTTTAGAGTAGATACGTTTAGTCTCCCAAGGCAAAATAACAGGGGATGTAGCTGAGTTTCAGACTGATTGGGGTCAAAGAATAACAAAACTAATGTTGAAACAATACCAGTTGCAGAGGCCAAAATATACCCCTGCTTAAGACAAACAAAAGTTGAGCCTATTGTACAAGAACCATCTGTGTGAGGTCATGGTCAAAGGAAACAGATTATTTGTTCTAGGTGTCCTTGCTCATTTACAAATATAACATGTGGCAGTTCAGAGCTTTTAAATTTCTTTGTTGACACATTTTTTAAGACAAGTGAACTTAGACCAAAAGGTAAGGATGCAAATATTTAGTCATTGTAGGCAAATGTTACTGGATTTTTATGCAAGTTCTATTTCTGGTTATCTGTTGTGCAGGTGTTTTGAACATTGATACCAGAACTTGCTATGGCAAGTGAGCAAGTAAAAACATATTTATATAATTCCATCTGGGAAGTTTTCTGCAGTAAAGTTTGAGAATAACTTAGTAAATTTGGCTATATTTTATACCCCTTACTACCAATTGCATAGTACAGTATTTAATGCCACATTAAACCTGCGTGTTTTTTTTTCTAATTACTGCCTGAGTAATTTTTAGCAATTTGACTTTTTTTTTCTTTTTCATAGAAGATAGGAACATATAGTTCAACAGGAAATGTGTTTGCTTCCTTGTCTGCCTTAATCTCCAGAGAAGCAGGGCCTCAACCCTTCAGCTAATTATTCTGCAACTATAGCATACATTTTAACTTGTATTTACATTATTTTATTCCTAAAGGCCTTTGGCAACAGCATTTGAGCTGCTGATTTCTGCAACCCTGATTTGGTGAAAAAATTTAAGCATGAGTTCAACATGAGGCATACATGTGCTCTCATTGAGATAAATGATAACTTTGTTCAGGGCAACAGAGCCGAGCCTATTTTAAGTATGCCTTACTCTCCAACAAAGGTGTTAGATCCTTGATCTGTGCCCACTGGCAAAATGCTGGGGTTTTAGTAGGCATTCCTCTCATCACTTTTCCCAATTTCACAGCCAAAATAATTGCTTTTGAAGTATTTCAGACACCCAATAGCCAGCTCAGCTCAAGCAACTGCCTGGTGAAACCATGGCCATGGCTCACCTGTACTGCCCAGTGCAGAGCTGTTTTGAGGTCTTTGTCCACCAGAGTGAGGTCTGCTCCCCTGTGCAGCAGAGTCTGGGCGTGCTGGGGCCTGTTGTGGAAAGCAGCCCAGTGGAGTGAAGTCATTCCCTGAAAGCCACAAACCCAAAAGAGGAAATTATTGTCACTCAATAGGACCGTCAAGTCTCTTCTCAAGTCTCTAGATAAGCTAGACAGTTCTGAAACTGTTTGGGACTGATAGACTCTTCCATCTTGCTCTTGATTTGGAATAATTAGTAACAGCTTCTGAATCAGTGGAGTCACAAGGAGGAATCAAGCTTTTTGAAGTTATTACAGAACATGGATACAAATGCAAATGTGCTTTTTGTACATCACTGCAGCCTATTCTAAATAATGGGTAGTCAGGACCATGACAGAAGGGGGGGGGGGGAGGGGGTACTGCCTTACTACTCAGTTTGTATCCTGTCAGAAAAGCCCATTTTAGACTGGTGTTTGACATGATGCAGTATGGTGTTTTGTTTAGGTCTTATCCTGGATCCAAAATAAATATTATAAGCTAGTATTCTTAGCTGGCACTAAAAAATGTCAATAAAAAAGTCACATTATAAACTTGTTATTTTTGTTGTTTAGGGAGAAAACAAAGCAGCTATTGACCTGCATTTACATCCCATCCTAGCTGTGTTCAGTCAGTCTTGGTAGATCAGAGAATTCATGGCATGTATTTGCACTGTCATCACCACTGTTACACACTACATCCATAATATTAAAGATTCTTTGTATACAGTTACTTTTTAAATGTGTTTCCTAAAAACTGCTACTGTTCTGGTGTGGTAGCATAGTACTTTGGACAGGATAGTTCTTTACTATCTCTTATCAGGGAAAATGCATTTCAAGGGTCTTGTCTGATTTCAAAAATTATAAAAAGCAGAAAATGTGGAGCGGAACATTAAATTAAAACTTGACATAGGACCCCATAAAGCCAACTGGCAACAATGTACAAGCTATAAGATGTTGGCACAAACAGTTTATCTGTGCATTAATACTGGAAGTTCTTAGAAGTGATTTTCTAACTAAAAGCTTGAATGCCCTAACAGTAATATCTCTCACTCATTAGGTATTCTAGAGGGCTTTTCAAGTCTCCTGATGTCTTAAGTATAGGCGATGACAAAATAGAGCAGTTGAATAAGAGCAGTTTTGGTTTTAGTTAGGGCTTCAGTGTGGGGGGTAGCTTTTGTAAAACCAAAAATGTGGGTAAAATCCTACCCTAACTGAAATTAATGGGAGATCTGCCACTGACATCAGTGGACCGAGGTTTTGACAGAAGAGACTTATTACTGTTGATGGACACTCAGTATCTGAGTGCTGTGAAGTGAGGATTCACTGAAGTTATTTTCATCTAGGAAACAGGTCCTTACCCCTAGTCTAGGACAGCAGGAAAAATCAGTGAAAGAGAAGAAGCGACAGTGTAGCAAGCCAGATTTCTGTCATCCCCTCTCAGTCTATTGACACGGACAAAATATCCTTGAAAAATCAACTTTCTCTCTGTTTCTACTGTGGTAACCAGCAGTCAGCTGTAACATAGGAGTGTGAGAACTGTGGGTGGGGATCAAAGTCCTCTCTAGTCCAGGAACACAGCTCAGAGAGGTCAGTAGCAGATGCTTATGGAGAAATTATAGGAAACAAGGCTTGACATACAGTCTCCTAAAATTTGGTAATCAGACTGAAGACTTCCTATGAAATCCAGACCTCCACAAGCTAATGATGCAAAGAGTAAAATGTAATTATTTTTATTTTTTTCTAAAACTGCTGCTGGATAATTTCTGTAGGTGTCCCCATCAATTTAGATGTAAAAAAACAGTTAATAATTATTACCTTTCAAACTTGTCCATGAAGTTTATTATGCCATGGATTTATATAATTCCTCTGGCATAGCTGCCAAGGTGAAAATCCTGTTTTTGTTCATTTGTTCTAGTTGTTAGCCTGCCCATGAAAGGAAGCTAATCTACAACTACTGCCATCTTTCTAGTCTTTTTCTGTTGATTTTTATTCTCCTATATTCTTTTTCAGATTACTCCTCCAGCTGACATTCAAGCATAATGCTGTTTCCTGGTTTGTTCTCTATTTCTTTTCTAATAATTTGTACATTCCATGTGTCCTTTTGGAGCAGCCATCTGGGCAAAGAGCATTGAGCTGTTTGTAGCAGCAGCTCACATGTGTGGGCCTGTGCAGTGGGCAATGGCTGTCTAGCCTGCACCCATCCATATATGCATGGTGATACCACCCTTGACTGGCATCTGTAGATAGGTTACTGTTGGTGAGAGGAAGCATGAGAGTGATATCAGAACTGTCAAAGCTGAAGATCTAGCAGATTATATTAAAGGTGAGACAGCCAAACAAACATTTGTAAATAATAGTGGACATAAAAGGAGAAAACCCAAGAAATGGCTGTGGGAAATAAAGTGTGACACTTGTTTTGCCCAGATTTGAGGCTTATTCAGGGGATGTTTCTTCACATTATCTCACAGGCCTCATAAGTAAACCCACAGAAAGCTGCCGTTGTGGAAAGTATGAAACCTCCAGATGTATTTCTTATTGTTTATGCATTCATGCATTTATTGGGGTGTTTTTCTCAAGTGTAAGATGAGAAAACTGAACTGTTTTATGACAAAAGAACAGTTCTGTTAGCTGAAATAATTTGTGAGGATCCATATTTCCAGAAAACACGACTGTTCAGGGCTTAGTACTCACACTTGAACAAGTATCTTCTCAGTGCCAAATGCCAGTGAGATGGACTAAAAGTTCCAGACTGCATGTAGCAGTGCATTACAGCAAAAGATTACAGCTTGAAATCATGATCCACAGTTCCATGCAATTCATTAGCAACATAATTCTATACCAAGACAAAGCATACATCTGGTTTAGGTTGTGAGCAGTGTCACCAAACCGTCCACTGGATAAGGAAGGTTCATAGGAAGGGGATCAATTAACAACTCTGTGGCAGCTCTGGCACAGTGGAGAAGAGGTACATTCTCGAGCAATTGTTAGAGTGAAGAGAAACATATGAAAAGACATCCAGGGTCTCTCTCTTGTTTTGGCTTCTCTATTAGGAGAAGAGAACATTTGGGAAGTTAACACTCATCTATGAATACTGTATATATACATATATATATATATATATATATATATATATATATATATATATGCAGGACACAGTTCTTTAAGGACCAGAAGACAGTATAATTTTTTTGTCTCCATGACTGTTCTGTGTAATGTTAGCTTGCCAGTATTTTTTCTAATAACAGTAGTTTAATGAGGATGACTGGTAAAGGTGACAGTTTAGTCCAGTGTCTAACTTCAGAAAAATCAAAAGCTATTGACATCTTGGCAAGTTGAGTTAAGAGACTGATTCAATATACTTCATAGTTGGCAGTGTATGGAGAAGGTATATTAACCTAATGGTGAATCACGTATAGTAAGAAAAATGACATAATGCTTTCCAGAGTTCAGCAAAAGCATTCTAGAAATTTTTGTCTAGTGCACAAGTTCATTGTAAAATTGATACTACAGTGGACTTTTTCTGAGCAGCATGAATTGTATGCCCCCAGAGCCTGAGACTGTGACTTTTAGCACAAAACTCACTCACCTCATTGTCCTGATGATTGATTTCATGAAGATTTGACTTCTGCAGAAGCACGTTCAGAAGCCTGTGGAAGCAATGACATAATCAGTGTGCTGTTGTCCTGACTAAACCTGAAAAAAAGACATTTTTTTGAGAAACGAAACATGCAATTTCAAGAAAAATCAGTATTAGTGATAGGCATAGGTCAGAATGTCTGACCTATGACAAGTCTGTGCTTTGTCATATTAGAAAAGACAATAGGACTTTATGGCTTACTGTAACAACAGAAGTTTAATGCTGGGAATTAAAAGCAGATCCCCTAGGAAGAATTCTTGTGCTGATTGCCAGACTGGAATCAAAATGTGTAATACTATACATGTGTGCAATTTTTGGTAGCTTAGCAATTCATTGTCATACTATTTAATGAAGTTTTTAACAAAGAGAAATGCTAATGACCAGTTTCTAAGAGGATTTTTCACTCTCCTTAACTCTTGGACTAATGTGATGCTGTGTACAAGTTTGTGTGTGTGTTCATGCATACTATATATTTACACACACAAACCAACAGTATTTTACAAGGACTTGCAGTTTGTCTGCTGGGATAGGACATTGTTATGATATAAAACATAGCAGTGAATTGATTCACATTTTATAGAATAATAGACCACAAACACTCCTCTCTGGTAGAGGGAACAGTTACAATAAAATAGTTTCGTGAAATATTATCCAAGTGCAATAATACTTTTAACACTGCATGGATTTTGTTTTTCTTTTCCTTTCATCCCTATGAAGGTGTTCTAAAATAGGTTTGGTGAAGGTGGTTTTGTTTTATAGTAGGATGCTAAGTGTTTGGATCTTGGTAAAGGACCATCCTGTCACAGGCTATAACAAAACCAAATAGCATAGATCCTAACATGGATGTACAGATCTTATGATTCTGGCAAATGGGAAGATAGATCCTTAGTCGATTCCTAGGTAAGATCGTACTGCAAATCAGTGTCTCATATGAAGGTGTAAATGTGCTAGAAACCTTCAAAATATAAGCGTGTTTAAAGACATACTGATTTGCAAGGAAACCAAAAGATGATGAAGTGTCAAGAATGAAACTCTGATAGATGTACAGACAATGCACAGATAAATGTGTACAATCATGCATCATTAACGTGCATAGGAGGTAGAAAAAAAATCTTGTACTGCTTTTCACCAGGACAATTTTCAACATCTTCCAGTGTGTTTTCTGTATGGAACTGTCCTCAAGTGTGTGGATCAGATCAAGTCAAGCATGCTTATTTTCTCCCCAGTAAGGACAACTAGATAATTTAATTTATTCAAAATAAAGACATTTGCAGTTGCTTAGGGGTGATTTGAGCAATTCTGCAGGTGAAAGTCTTAGTGATTGGTAACCACATCTTCAGGTGCCAGAAATCCAAATTGAATATTTTCCTAATGAGAATATTCCTAAAGGGTGAAGACTGGTCAGACGCCAGTGCTTTGCTAGGACTTCAAATCCATTTGTATATGGATACAAATACTTGTAGAAAAGAGGTGTTACACATCCTTTTCTGAATCATACAGCTGATGGCATAATGAAATTAAACTATAGGAACTCTGAAAAGGATGGTATTTTAGAATTGCTGCGATTAGCTTGGTAAAAATTTATAAAATGGAAGAGACATTTTGTGGTCATTTGGCACAATGACTCAGAGTCTCAGAAATACAGGTCTTGGTAAAAAAGAATTAGTGAGCAGCAAAGAATTTGGATAACCATAATATGCTGGTAAAACCCATTTATCACACAGTTTTATAATCTGATGCATGGTTCTGTTTAACCCCAGATATCATCAATAAAACTAGTGATGTGAAGGAAATCTCATTCTTTTAGGGTAAAATCTCTGTCAACAGCAAACTTTGGGTCACTTATATCCTTAGAGATTATGGGAACAGAAGTGCTACCACTACAATATGTAGATATTCCACCATGCAGCTGAAATTTCTGTGATACCTGCTCTAAAAGGCATAGACCAGGAATGGATTCTCTGTTTACCCTTCCTCTTAGGCTCTGCAGAACATGCTGAAGCAGGTAAGTCAATTACCAAAACAATACATAAAATGGCTGATCAAGCTTTCAGACTCGGCTGAAAAAGCATTTCATAGCTGGCCACTGCATATACCCTTTGACAACACCTTTGGTTTCAGAGAGTGACAATGACTGTGGTGGAAAAGCCTCTCCGCTCAGTGCTCCAGGCAAGTCTTCTGGGCCTGGTGCAAGCTCAGTGAGAAGACACAGGAAACGGAATCACAGAACTGGTAAATTGGTCTGTTGGTAAGGTGAGTTGGTAATTGGTCAGTTGCTGAGGTGAGTAGCTCGAGAGAGGACTCATTCAGCACCGGAGCTGGGGCGGAGATCAGCGTCCAGGAGCCTCAACTCAGAGCGCCAAGAGCCACCGAGGGAGCCTCAACTCCTCGACGGGACCTGCCCAGGAGCCGGCAGCTCAGCTGACGAGAGCGAGCGGGGACTCACAGCGGGCGGAGGCAGGAGCAGCGGCACCAGCCCTGAGTGGGTAAAAACCTGCCCCAGGGAGAGCGGCGAACAGAGCGGGTCGGGGCAGTTTGCGCGGGCAGGCGGGCGGGACGGTGAGCGCTCGGCGTATGAGCAGGGCCCGGTCCGGGAGCTCTGCTCTGGCTGCCCCGGCGGTGGCAGCGTAGGCACCCAGACAGAGCCGGTGAGAGGGGAGGCTGCAGTGCAGAGCTCGGGGTGTAGAGAGTGCCTGCACTGGTCTGGTGAGGGGAGGGTGCACAATGGGCAGGGCTGCACTCGGTGCTCCCTGGTGGAGGTCCTCCTGCAGCAGGGGCTGAGCTGCGGGACGCTGTCAGTAGGCTGCGAGATGTCAGGGAAGCTGAGAGGAAGCAGGAATGCTTGCTCCCGGCCCAAACTGTGCAGGGGCCTCGAGCTTCACCTCTACCTCATGAAGGAAAGAAGGAGGCCGTTAACCTGGGAAGCTGGGAATTAGTGACAAAAAAAAAACAACGAAAAACAAAAACAAAACAACACAAAAAAGAAAAAAAGGAGGAAAAGGACAATTAAAAGCAAGGGGCTTCCCCCTAAATCCCCTGTCTCCACGCAGAACTGCTTTGCTGTTCTGCAGGGGGCTAATGAGGAAATGCACTCGAGCCAGAAACAGCCAGGCTGATGCACTGGTAAAGAAGATCTCTACTGGTGCTGCCAGGAAAAAGCAGCGGGTCGTTATGTAGTAGGGGACTCTACACTGAAAGGGACAGAAGCACTTGTCTGCCAGCCAGACCCCGTCTCAAGGGAGGTGTGTTGCCTACCGGGGGCACGGATCAGGGATGTGGCAGAGAGGCTGCCTGCTCTAGTAAGTCCCACGGACTATTACCCACTCCTGGTGATACATGTGGGTGCTAGGGATATAGATAGTAGTAGCCCGGGGAACATAAAGAAGAACTACAGAGCCCTGGGGGAGGTGGTTAGGGGCTCTGGAGCTCAGGTGGTCTTTTCGTCAATTCTCCAGGGTACAGGGGAGGACCTAAAAAAAGCTAGGAGGATTGGCCAGGTTAATAACTGGTTAAAAGGGTGGTGCCATAGTCAGGGATGTGGGTGTCTTGAACACGGGACCCAAGTTTGTAGGCCAGGTCTAGTGGGGGCTGGTGGAGCTGGTCTGAAAAAAAAGGGAAAGAGCAGTTTTGGTAGGAGGCTTGCCAGGCTGGTCAAGGAGGCTTTAAACTAGATGTGTTGGGGGAGGGGGTCATCATTCCATCCCAACACACCCAGTCAGTTGCCAGCACCTATAATAAATGCTTGGAGAAATGTAGATATAGAAACATAGAATCATAGGATAGTTAGGATTGGAAAGGACCTTAAGATCATCTAGTTCCAACCCCCCTGCCATGGGCAGGGACACCTCACACTAAACCATACCACCCAAGGCTTCGTCCAACCTGGTCTTGAGCACTGCCAGGGATGGAGCATTCACAACCTCCCTGGGCAGCCTATTCCAGTGCCTCACCACCCTAACAGGAAAGGATTTCCTCCTTACATCCAATCTAAACTTCCCCTGTTTAAGTTTCAACACGTTACCCCTTATCCTATCACTACCTTCTCTTCTCCAGGCTGAACAGCCCCAACTTCCTCAGCCTGTCTTCATACGGGAGGTGCTCCAGTCCCCTGTTCATCCTCGTGGCCCTTCTCTGGACTTGTTCCAACAGTTCCATGTCGTTTTTAAGTTGAGGACACCAGAAAAGCACACAATACTCCAGGTGAGGTCTCACGAGAGCAGAGTAAAGGGGCCGGACCACCTCCTTCAACCTGCTGGTCACGCTTCTTTTGATGCAGCCCAGGATATGGTTGGCTTTCTGGGCTACAAGCGCACACTGCTTGTTCATGTTCATTTTCTCATTCCAGCTGCTCCAGCCAATGAGCTGGCTTCATTTGGAGCTCCGCTCAGATGCCTCTATACAAACTCTCGTAGCATGGGGAACAAACAAGAGGAATTAGAGATGTGTGCACGTCTACAGGGGTATGATATAACAGGCATCACAGAAACATGGTGGGATGGCTCCTATGACTGGAGTGTTGGAATGGAAGGTTACAGGCTCTTTAGAAAAGACAGGCCCAGTAGGTGGGGAGGGGGAGTTGCTATTTATGTTAAGGATAGGCTGGAGAATATGGAACTGTCTGGGGACAGGTGAGCAGTTAACAGAGAGTTTGTGGGTCAGGGTTAAAGGGAAAATAGCTATGGGAGACATTACTGTGGGGATCTGTTACAGACCGCCTGATCAAGGAGAACCTGCGGATGAAGCACTCTATAGACAGACAGGAAAAGCCTCACGCTCGCAGGCCCTTGTTCTCATGGGTGAGTTCAACCACCCTGACATCTGTTGGAAGGACGGTACGGCCCGGCACAAGCAATCCAGGAGGTTCCTTGATTGTGTGGAAGTCAACTTCCTTCTGCATGTAACAGAGGAGCCGACAAGGAGAGGTGCCATGCTTGACCTCGTGCTCACCAACAGGGAAGGGCTCCTTGGAAATATGATGCTCGAAGGCAGCCTTGGATACAGCGATCACAAGATGGTCGAATCTGAGATCCTCAGGAGAGTGAGAAGAGCATGCAGCAAGCTCACTGCCCTGGACTTCAAAAGAGCAGACTTTGGCCTCTTCAGGAACCTGCTTAGTAAGGTTCCATGGGATATAGCCCTAGAGGGCAGGGGGGCCAAAGACTCTTGGTTGATATTCAAGGATAACCTGCTACAAGCTCAGGAGTGTTGCATCCCAACCAGAAGGAAGTGCAGCAGGAGGGCCAGGAGACCTCCTTGGGTGGATAAGGAGCTCCTGAGGAAAATTCAAATGAAAAAAGACATTTACAAAAAGTGAAAGCAAGGACAGGCGGCCTGGGAAGAGTACAGGGATGTTGTCCGGAAAGCCATGGACCAGGTTAGGAAAGCTAAAGCCCAGTTAGAATGAAACTTGGCTAGGGATATTGAGGATAACAGGAAGGGATTCTAGAGGTATGTAGCAAATAAAAAACAGACTAGGGAGAATGTAGGCCCCCTCAGGAAGCTCTCGGGAGAGCTGGCTACACAGGATTTGGAGAAGGCTGAGGTTCTGAATGACTTCTTTGCCTCGGTCTTCACTGGCAAAGGCTCTGCCCAAACCACCCAAGTCTTGGAAGGTGGAGGCAGGGACTGTGAGAATGAAGACCTTGGGCCCACTGTAGGAGAGGAACTGGTTCGAGACCATCTTAAAAATCTGAATGTGCACAAGTCCATGGGACCTGATGCGATCCATCCACAGGTCCTGAAGGAGCTGGCGAATGAAGTTGCTAAGCTACTGGCCGTCATATTTGAGAAATCATGGCAGTCAGGTGAAGTTCCCGACGACTGGAAAAAGGGAAATATAACCCCCATTTTCAAGAAGGGGAAAACGGATGACCTGTGGAATTACAGACCAGTCAGTCTCACCTCTGTGCCTGCCAAAATCTTGGAGCAGATTCTCCTGGAAGGCATGCTAAGGCACATGAAAAACAACAAGGTGCTAGGTGACAGCCGGCATGGCTTCACTAACGGGAAATCCTGCCTGACCCATTTGGTGGCCTTCTGTGATGGGGCTACGGAACTGATGGACAGGGGTAGAGCAGTTGATGTCATCTACCTGGACTTGTGCAAAGTGTTCGACACTGTCCCACATGACATCCTCGTCTCTAAATTGGAGTGACATCAATTTGATGGATGGACCACTCGGTGGATAATGAACTGGCTGGATGGCCGCACGCAAAGAGTCGTGGTCAATGGCTCAGTGTCCATCTGGAGACCAGTAACGAGTGGTGTCCCTCAGGGATCGGTGTTGGGACCGGTCTTGTTTAATACCTTCACCGCTGACATGGACAGTGGGATTGAGTGCGCCCTCAGCAAGTTTGCCCATGACACGAAGGTGTCTGTTTCGGTTGATATGCTGGAGGGAAGGAATGCCATCCAGAGGGACCTTGACACGCTTGTGAGGTGGGCTGATGCCAACCTCATGAAGTTTAACCATGCCAAGTGCAAGGTCCTACACCTGGGTCGGAGCAATCCCAGGCACAGCTACAGGTTGGGCAAAGAAAATATTCAGAGCAGCCCTGCAGAGAAGGACTTGGGGGTGCTGGTTGATGAGGAAATGAACATGAGGTGGCAGTGTGCGCTCGCAGCCCAGAAAGCCAACTGTGTGCTGGGCTGCATCAAAAGGAGCGTGACCAGCAGGTCGAAGGAGGTGATCCTGCCCCTCTACTCTGCTCTCGTGAGACCTCACCTGGAGTATTGTGTGCAGTTCTGGCGTCCTCAACTTAAAAAGGACACGGAACTGTTGGAACAAGTCCAGAGAAGGGCCACGAGGATGAACAGGGGACTGGAGCACCTCCTGTATGAAGACAGGCTGAGAAAGTTGGGGCTGTTCAGCCTGGAGAAGAGAAGGCTGCGTGGAGACCTCATAGCAGCCTTCCAGTATCTGAAGGGGGCCTGTAGGGATGCTGGAGAGGGACTCTACATTAGGGACTGTAGTGATAGTACAAGGGGTAACGGGTTAAAATTTAAACAGGGGAATTTTAGATTGGATGTAAGGAGGAAATTCTTTCCTGTTAGGGTGGTGAGGCACTGGAATGGGTTGCCCAGGGAGGTTGTGAATGCTCCATCCCTGGCAGTGTTCAAGACCAGGTTGGACGAAGTCTTGGGTGATAGGTTTAGTGTGAGGTGTCCCTGCCCATGGCAGGGGAGTTGGAGCTAGATGATCTTAAGGTCCTTTCCAACCCTAACTATTCAATGGTTCTATGAAATTCCTGTGCAGAGTAAAGGTCTGCCTGTACCCGTGGAGAATGAGAAAATCATTCAGGGAACCCTGTGTGCTGCTTTTAAATTATTGTTAAATTACTGTAATTTATTGTTCCTTTTCAAATAGCAGCCTGTACAGTATTTTACAAGCATTGTCTTTTGTCTGTGTAGGCTTGGTTTAATGATAGTGACCTGTACTTTTGCTGTTCTCTCCAAGTGATGCATGAAAAGCAATGATAATGTGAAAAATTGATAAAACTGTTAGAAAAAGGCTAGAGAGCAAGGTCAGTGGATGTCTGAGCTGGTCTGATGTGATGACAGCAGCAAAACTGTAGTCTTATTGATTACGTCACATGAAATTTTTGTATATACTGAACGTTATACCTCTCTCTAATGTCATCTTATACCTCCAGACATGTTTTACTTGTGAAAGCTTTTTTCTAAGTGAATTTATTCAAATGTACAAATCAATTTTTTTTTTTTTTGACTTTCCTATTATCAGAAGCTGGAATGAGACAAAGAAGTTCCTAAGACTTCTTGTGAAGACACTCTATGGTTGTTATTCCATGTTCAGCAGAAGTAGCTTAAAATGAGCCAGTCCACCAAACCTAGCACCCCCTTTACAGTTGGGGTTCTCACAGAGGTTATCTTGTAGAGAACATTCCTCACATTTGCCATGCTACTCAGAGAAGTCCAGAGAAGGAGTAATATCTTGTAGTATTTCTTGTGGGGAGATGGCAGAAGGGAAACCCAGGGTTGCAACCTCTGTTATACTTTTTTTTCCCCCCTCCCGTTACTGTGATCTTAAACCAGGCTCCTCACCTTGACCATGTATCTCTGCTACACAAGTCGTGTACAGTGCTTTTCCTTCTCTGCCCCCTTCATAATAGCCACTAAAAGAAGGAGCAAGTCACAAGTGTAACAGCTAATCTTCCTGAGTGGGGCTCCCCTTTAGGCTGGGTAGCTTGTGCTGGTGACTACCTGTTGAAATTCTACCAGCAAATGTTGTTGGAGCCTGGGACATACCTCACATCAGGCTCTGCAGTAGCAGCATGCAGTGGCAACCTCCCATTTTTGTCAGGTATGTTCTGCTTAGCACCATTTCTGATCAGGCTGATACAGCCTTCCAGCCAGCCCTAAAAAAGAAATCACAGCATGTCAAAGAGGAAGGTGAAATGCATCAGGACAGATCTTTGGTGCTTCTGGCACCCGGGTGCTAGTGTAGCTGTTTCTGCCAGCAGAGGAACTGGTCTCAGCACTCAGAGCAGTTTCCCTTTGGAGTACAAATCTCACGCTAGCTCAGCCATTCATTTCTGTGATAAAGTGTTTTCTTTACACTGCATTTTGTTTTTTCTGCAGCTGTGGCAAATACTGACCTAGTAAACAATGGTTAAAAACCTGCTAATTGCAGGATCACTAGGAAATGCTACACATATTCCTGCATGTGGATTTAATTATGCTAGATTAAACCAGAAACATGAGTACTTAATCTTATTTCCTTGATGAGATTTTAGCAGGGATGGCAAATCAATAGTAAAAAGCCTTAGAGTGTGGTCTTACAAACACTGTTGCAGAAGTTTGAACTAGTGACAATGTTAGACTGAAAACAACACCAAAACAGATGGGATTAATCAGTGCTCAGCCTAAAACCTTCTATTGATCAACTCAGCAAAAAAAGCAAGTAAACAACCTGGTTGCAATGGCATAAATCTTTCACTGTATACTTAAATCCCAGGGAAATCAAGCATGAGTTTGTTTTCTTCAATCCTCTGCCGGCAATCGATAAAGACCATTCCCTCCTGTATGAGCTATGTCGGATTGGCATTACCAGCATTTATAGGGAAGAGGTGTAGAATAATGGAACCAGAGCAGCCCTGTTGTAGCTGCTGGTGGAAGTACAAGGACACCCAATTCTGCATGTGATTGTGACTGTGGAGCTTTGCTGAATTCAGTTCCCTGCACAGACATCACAGCCAAATGCTCTCTAGACCTCTGAATATATCCATCACAGAAACAGAAATGGAAACTTCAAAGCCTGGGTGGTTTAAATCTTTTCCAGTCATTTCTTCTTTTTCTTTTTTTTTTTCTTTTTCCCAAAGAATATTTTTTTCCCCTCTGGGAAAAGAGGAAGGAAAAAAGGAGCATGACACTAATTATGGGATTTTTAAAAAATATCTGGCAGAAGAAATGTTTATTCTCAAGAAAGTGGGGCATCCTCCTTGCACTGAATGCGACTGCCTGTTTTGCAATTTTCTACACTTATTTTCTGGCCTAATATTACACAGCTGAGCAGAAGCATTGTTTTTGCCCTGAACTTGCAGGAAGAAACTAGATGTTTCCATAGCAAGGGAAGTAGTTTAATTAGGCTGCCATGGTATCTGTTTAAATGAACTGGCTGTCATCCAGCCATAACTCATACTATGCACCATAGGTGAACATTCCTTCCTCCTTTCTGTCCAACTAATAATGGCAGCCCTTTGCCCAGCTAACTTGGTTCCCATCCTTTCTCTGACTTCTGAATTACCTCCAGCAAGGAGTAGAAGACTAAAGACAAGAGAATCATCCTTGTGTACTTCAGAGATCACCACATCTCCCTTCCCAAGCTTCAAAATGGGATGGCTGCCCCGTTGTCACTTGCATGTGGGTTGACTCAGGGGCTGGATTGCTTACGATCTTAGTGTCTGCACTGGTGCCTGCACCACCTTGAACTCAAATTCTTAACCTTGCCATCCAAGGTCTATCAATACTCTGGCTCATGTATTGCACAGTAAAACATGCCTGCTGACAACCAGATTTTGAGATAGAAGTGCTCTCTCTGGAGCATACATATCTGATGCTGACAGTGGGTGGGGGGAGAAGTTAATCTGCATATTGAGAACAAGAGTGGATTTTCCACTGCAACAGAAGCAAATGCAACAGCAAGTGCAACAGAAGCAAGTGGCTTGAAATCACACAGAGGACCCTGGACCTAGTGAGATCCCCATACCATGTACTAATTTTACAACCTGAAAGAGAAAGGACACTGACACGAGTCCTGATCCTTTTCCAATAATCATCAGCTTTGCATTATAGTAAAGTTTACAATTTCACTCTTGTCTATAACTAAATATTTTGCACTTGTTTTCTTTCTGTAGTATAAGCAGAAATCTTATTTGGTCTGCACATTTACTCCCTTTACTCCATCTATCTTTCCATACTTCTCCCCCAAGCTTTGGTACCAGATAAGTTGCCAGACATAAACTGGTACGTCCACAAGCATCTTGAGTATTAATATTGGCTCCCATCTTCAACAGAAGCTTCACTGTATCAACCTGGCGTCCTGACACAGCATGCAGCAAAGGTGTGCAACCTGGGGAAGAAAGTCAAATGTTCTTTTACAATTTTTATTTTGTCAAAGCCATAAGCTAGAGATATTTCCTTATTTGCTAATGTTAGTACTGGCAAAGTAACTGACAACTGTTCCAACAGTTGCACTCAGCTTTTTGTAGGCAGGAAGTAACTGCTATGCCAGTCACTGACCACTGGTTTTAAAAAGAGCATGACTTCATTAGCAAAAGCCTTGCCTCATTAACTCTGCTTCTGGAGGGAAAAGTGTTTTTCTGTTGACAAGCTTCCAATATGAACTGTTGGTTTTGTATACCGTTTTGGAGACTGATATTCTTCAGAGTGACTAGTAGCCAGATGGTGCTTGGCTAATTTTCACAAACCCCAGCTTCATCCTGTCTCTATGTATTCAAAAGACTTATGAAATCAAGCCCTGTCCTGTGCAAAGGTGCATGTATGTGAATTGATGCTTTATGTAGACAGCAACTTATTTTAAAGGCTCTAGAATATTTTCTTTTGTGTTGTCATGAGAACTTTTTTAATATTCTGCAACAATTTCTGTGCTGGAAAATACTCTGAAATCTACATTCAAGCCTAATACTCGAATTTCATAATGAAACATTATGATATCGTTCAATTGATTCCTCTTCCTTTCATTCTATTAACTAGTGAATAACATCAAGAGATTTTCCTGCAGAATCTGACAAAACAATTTGAAATTAATAAACTGGGAATAAACATGAATTTTGAAAGCTGTAAATCTACTAGAAACTTCAGGCACAACTGAAGAATAATTATTCTTGCTGGATTCAGTAAGACTGTTGAGCAAATGTGTACTACCCAACCTGAGGTTATGCATACTCTGCCATACATGCAGGATATGAGCCACACATTTGTCTTGCAAGACTGGTGTTTAGTTACATCTGTATGTGCAATGAAATAAACAAGTTTCTCCTGGAGCTGAAATACTTCCATTTGCTGATCAGTCTATCTCCACCCACAGCCCTTCATACCTAGTACCTCTCCTGTTAAGGATCTGGACTGGGAGCATTTTAGCTTGATAAAGTATTTTTCCTACTGACCCAATAGCTGTTTTAAAGATAATAGGATGTCTGGCTTAAAGTGTAGGAAAAATTGGTAATTTGGTAAAAGCTGGTAAAGATTAAAATAGACAATGCTGATATGGACCCTTTAAAAGAAACTGCAGTAAAAAAATACTTTGAATAAACAAAGTCTTCTTTAGGAGAAACGTCCAGAGGCGGCTCTAATTCAATTGGGGAATAGAGTCAAGTAAAACCTAAGCAATGGACTGCACTTTGTAATAACATTAAATATTTTCCTGAACACAAACAAAAAGGAACACAGTCTTGCAGATAAAACAGATTATTGAAATTATTGCACGCTGTACACTCAACCCTTTGAGTTTGTAATTTAAACAGTTACGTGACAAAATCATTCAAACTGTATCTGTACATACAGATACAGTACATATACATATGTACTGTACATACACTTCACAAGTGCAAAAGAGTGAAATTCCCTACTCTAGCATTGTGCAGACTATGTAGCATTTGCCTTTCCTTATATGAAATCACAACAATTTCTCATCATCTCCCTGAAGAAGATAAAATAGATTCATGATAAAGTACTGTCCCATTTTGGCACAACAATGTATTTGTATCCATATAAAAAAAAAATCTTACAATTAAAGGCGAAAGAAATATCCAAACTAAGCATTTTCAGTGGATGTTCCAAAGAATAACTCAAATTTCCCATATTCTGCTACTAAATATAATTTGCTGAACACAAAAATCAGGATAAAAAAATGGAAAAGTTTCATTGCAAGCTGAAGCAAGTAATCCCATGAGAACAAGCTCAGCCTTCATTTACCCTCGCTGTCGCAGGATTCCAGGATGGAAGGATCTTCTCGAATCACTGCAGTTAGTGTGCTTACATCGCCACTAGCTGCTGCTTGGTAAACCAGAGACAAGTCCCCCTCTTCTGCTGCATCACCTGCAGGGGAGAAGTATGTCCATGAGTAAGCAGAGAGTAAGTACAAATGATTAACAGTGAAAATTTATGACTGAATAACTCGAGGTGGAACAAAGTGTGTCTAAACAGCCCTGTGTTTTTTGTTAGTCATTGAAACTTGTTTTTCATCATAACTTCTTCCGTAAACTGTCAGACATCGACAGTGAGAGGACATAAGAAAACTTCTGGAAGGTTTCCATCTCTCCTAACTATGACGTAACATAACTTGTGAAACAATGAAGGAATAGCTGAACTAGCTCATAATATCGCTGTTATATTTTTATGAGATAGGATGAAATCAGGACACAGTTGATTTCAGTTTCTGTGTTATCCTTGCACCAGTCAGAAGACAGGCTTTTCACTTCCTTTCCCTGCAGTATCCAGGGGGATTCAGTTCTCAGGAGAGTGAACTTCTGGCAGCAATGGTTTGTATTATCAGTTCCTACAGAAAAGAATGGTGGAATATTAGTTGGAACCCAGGAGAGGTTTATTTTGTTTGGCAGTAATAGAATGAGGTATTATTTAAAGCAGATGACTTGCAGGACCTGTTCCTAAATACTCCTCAGAATTTTGTTTCTAGAGAAATTCATGTGATGATTCTGTCTTTTTTTGCTTGTAACTTCCTTAGAGACTGATCATCCCATGTCTGACACCTCCTTTGGCTTCAAGTGGATTATGAACCTGTTAACTCCAGGAGTCGAAAGAGTTGATTTTTTTGGTGTAGGGGCAAATCTGTCATAATGTTAAAATGCTCTAGCTATATATTTTTGGTCAGCCACAGTCTCATGTTTAATTTTAGAGTTTCTGATCTCTATTAAATCAATCAGAACAGCTGCAGTGAGCTGTGTTCTTCACTGTGGCTGAGGGCCAGAGCTACAGACTATAGCATTTCTCCAGCCACTGAACTACCTTGTAATTAGGAGAAAGTAAAACTAATGCCTAAATCACACTAGAGAGCTGATCAAAGGAACGACAGAGCAAGTGAGTGGTGGCTTATCCTTACTGTCATGTCTTCTGGAGATGGCATAACTATACAGAAAAATGGGAGATGGTTTAAAGAGAATTTGAAAAGTTAATAAAGTCTTTTTCATAATAAAATATTGCATTTTCATATATATGAACATGTATATGTTTTGAATGATAAAAGGTTTTTAAAGATAACTTTAAAGTATTAGCCACACAATTCACATTGTGATCAGATGTTGCCACAGCTGAACCCTCCTGAGCTCCACACTGGGGTTTACAGCCCTGTGCAATTCCCCACATGTGACCTTCTCCCCAGGATGCAATAATGACTCTCAACTTCAAAACTTGGCTTCCATGGAAACACAATCAGCCCTTGCCCTGGGAAAGGTTAGTCTGTCAGACCCAGAGCTCTTATTGTGGGCTTGGGAAAACTTGAGAGCTGATGTTAAATTTCTCTTCACCAGCACACAGATTCCCTTTCTATCACCTCTCAACTGAAGAAAATTTGATTTCCTTTCTTTCTTCTAGTTATCTTTTAAATAACACATTTGATACGGTTTGTAAATTAAAAATGTTAACTTGTTTTTTATTCTACTGGGGAGTCTATCACTGAGACAACTGTTCATTTGGCTCAGAAGCTTTGACCTGTGTGCTTGGGAGATCAGGAGAGACTAAGAGTCATTGCCTCTCAAGAGTCATCATCAGTGACTAGTATACAAAAAAAGAAGTGACTTTACCACAGGGCCCATTAATCAGATTTCCTTATCATGCCAGATCTGCAGACTGCTCTCACAATCAGCAAACTCAGAAAAAGACATGTTAGTAACAAGCTCAGGTCTGAGCTAGTCCCTTACTCAAAGAGGGGTGTAGTATGGGCTGGGTGGAAGGCAAGGAGACAAGGCAGAAGTTCGTCACTGGTGCTGCTCCTCTTGGCCAGCCTCTGGAGGTACACTTGCCAGCCACAAGCACCAGCCTAAGCTCTTCTCACAGCTGCATGTGGTGCTTGTTATATGGGAATGGTACAGAGAAGAAGCTGCTGGCATTGGGAAAGAAACCATTAGATATACTGAGATACACAGTGGATCAAAGGGACTCTCACCTCGTTTCATGCACTACACATGTAAATTTCATACTTTTTGCTGTTTAGCCTTGTAAATACTGTTAAATCTTCCTGCTGTGAGTCAGGAGGGAGCAATCCACCCATAAAGAGAAACTTTCCATCTCCCAAGCAGAGCATGTGCTTACCCAGAGGGCATGGTGGTGGGAAGATGAGGACATGGGCACAAAACGGCATGTGGGTCCCTGACTCCTTCTACCCCTTCTCATCTAACTAAAACCACCTCACCTTCTCCCCTGTGCCTTTGCTTGTGCTGGGCTGCATCTGCTTTTTCTAGAGCAATTATCCTGCTGTATGAGGAGAAGAAGCGAAACTAAATAAATGGATGAATGAATGAAGCTTTCCCCATGCCTGTGCTCACAGATCACGAGCTCCACTCTTGTTAAGCTACAGTGGCATGAAGCCCCATCCAAGATTCACAGTTCCCTATCTGTGAATCCTAGCTGTCAGAGCTAGAAAAGGCAGAAGAACCAGGCTGTCACCCTGCTGATGAGGAAGACTGGGCCAGGAGGACTTGATGGGCACCCATATTGTGCATCTGACATAAGGTAGACTGACACTAATTCAATTTCTATAGGGTGACATGATTTCAAGTAGGGTGTCTTGAACATGACCTTTGTGGCTTTGTGTAGGAGGCGAGGAGGAAGATAGATGTGTGGCATTCTGATGCTTCAGATGGCAGGGAGTAGGAAATGCCAGGATGTAATTTCTCCTGCTTCATCTTCCTGCAGCTTAACCCAACAAGGAATAAGGGGGCATAGGCACAAAGCTTGTAGGCTGTTTAATTTTGCGGACACATCCCTGGGCATGCAGAATGGGTGTTCTGCAGAAGGTGACAGTGAGGTACTGAGCACTTGTGTCTCCCTTTGTGAGCTTAACCTCCTGGGGAACTCAGCTGTGACTGGGGAATCAGCACTAAGTGGGATAAAGGGACTGTGAGTAGCCAAATGCCTGACTCTCCATCCTCAAATGTGTTAGCATTACTTCATTTATTGTTTTGCAGTTCTGTAAATGCCAGTGAATACTGGTGCCATCTCAGATACATTTATATTTTATTTTGCAAAATTATTGTGCTACTGGTAAAAGGAAGCTGTCAGCTTCAGGAAGGCAGAAGGTCCGACTGAGAGCCCATGTATGGAGCAAGGATAGAGAGAAACTGCAGGCTAGCACAACAGTGGCATAGAAAGATCTGGAAGAAACTTAGTGAATAGACCAAATGACATACAGGTTGTGACAGCTTTTGTAGCTACAATCCCCAGAAAGAATCAATCTTAAAAGCCAATTTATCTGAAATAAAGTGCAGTATTTTGAAAGTACGTGATTCCTTTAAGGCAAAGTAATTTTGGTTAGGAAAGGGTTTATATAAAGATACAAGCAGAATGATCACAGGATTCAGAGCAATGAAATTACACAGCTTGTGAAATTAATTCTTCTCAGACTCTCCTGTGATGAATGCATGCTTTACATGATTTGCTGTGTCGGCTGATGTGTTGTTTTACAAAGCGCACATTGGAGGTATGTTAAGTGTGTGCTTTCTCCTGCATTGGAATTTGCTGTAGCTTATTTTACGTGGTCTTGACAATGACTGATTTCGACCTTGCTAAAACAGTAGGTTTGGAAAACAGAAGGCCATAATACAGTGTAATTTATGTTCATTGTGAAGGAGAAATATTGGTGTATATTATTTACTCCCTTCTTTCCTATAAGTCTTCTTTCCACCGGTAGCCAAATGCCTTATGTGATTTCCCACAGCTCATCAGTAGCACACAATACTAGGCAGTTTATTTGATTTCAGCATGTCAGTGTCAAGGGTCAGAAGGATGTGGGTAAGTGCAGTTTTTGAGAATTATAACTTGCTCTGCTGTCAATACTGGTAGGTATTATTTTAATGAGCTGTACCATAGGAAGTGTTGTAAAGAGACAGTATGCTTTTCAAGCCTGGGATGCTGTTCATTTGATCTGTAACTGGGATAGTTTTCTGATGTTTGGGGTGAAGAAAGGTTTGTAGGGAGGGTTGAATTACTTTACTGGACCGACAGATTTATCTGGTGTGTTTGAATGATGATCATTCATTCATTCATGTGTATTCTTTCGCTGTTATAAATCATTCCAATGAAAGATACTCCCTTTCTCCTTACTAAAAAAATTGTGCCTACTTGAATCAGTAATGTGACGAGACATTAACATGCTGTTCAGATAAAATCCACCACAGGCTGTATATTTTGAATAGCACTTTCTTTGCATGATAACCAGTGGTTTCACTGTCCCATTACTGCTTACTGCTTGCTCCTGCTCTCCATCCACCTCCCACACAGCACAGCTGTCAGGGAAGGCAAACAGTAAGTCACAAATCATCTAATGAGCCAGCATCCCTGGTGTGGTGGTGATGGCGAGTTTATCTGGAGGGGACTCTTTTGCTGTGGAGGTGCTATGAGAGGAGTGTAAGATGGGCCTGGAGATGATGCTGGACAGGAATAAGGATAGGTCAGTATGGAGAGTGTCCTGACAGCAGAAAAGGCTGCTGATCAGTAGCAAGGGTAGTACAGGCGTATGTTGCCCCCTCTCTCTTTTACTTCTATCAGTATATGGTGGTTAAGGTCAGTGGTCTCCTGAACGGCTTTCTGCCCCCTTATCCATCTGAAGACTTGACTTCCCATTCCCCAGCCCTGATCACATTCCAGCCTCATTCCCAGCATCACTGCCACTGGCTCCCTGGCAGCCATCTCCCTAGCACTGACTGTTCAGGGTTTCCCCTCTCCCTTCCCAGTCTGAGCACTGCAGGGTCGATGTGTGGCACAGAGCATACTCGCGGTGCATGCAGACAGAGAGTTTTAGAATGGCTGTTTGGAGCTGCAGTAGCTCAGTCATCCCCACACCTCTGTCCTGCTTGGGAAAATGCTCCATACGTGATTCACACATGACCTTGGGGCACCTCTCTCTATTCCTGCAGTACAGATCCCCCTTCTCCTGTTGCACTTCCCTTTCTCCTTTATCCTTGCTGGTAGGATTTTTTGCCTTTTGTCACTCAGTTTTGCTTGATGGCTTCCCACTGCTCCCTGTCTGCTCAGGGTGGGGTTCTGTCTGGGATGGTGTGCTCTCGACTTGCTTCAGGCTTTGAGCACTACTGTGGCTGAAAGGCAGCTTTAAGTCCACTGCTCTACGTGGAGTGTGTTTACTCTGGATACACCAAAGAAGCATAGGCAAGCTCAAAAGTACAACCATAGGCAAGCACCCATGTCAGCTCGGACACTTTGCAAGCATGCATGAGAAACTGTAGCCCCTGCAAACAAATCATTTTGGCAAGCTGACTGAAAGAGAGATTTGTTGGAACACATGTAAACAAGCAATGACAGCTACCTGCTTTGGGAACATAAAAGGACTGCCACTGCGTTCCTCTGAGTAGATTAAGCCGTAAGACACAAAAGCTTGCACTGGCAAACATGAAATTCAAACATTTAACTTAAAAAACAGAAAACAAAGAGACATTTGTATTTCCATAGCAACCTTACCATGTAGAAAATCTTCATGTTGGGGATTTAAAAAATAATTTAAATTCACAGTTACAGCAGTACTTACCTATAGAGCTAAGATTTCCTGAAGCAAAGCTGATCACTTGACAGCATCTAGTTCTTTCAATGTACACAAACTAGTAAACTTAGGAAAATATTTTTTTCTTAAATTTTTACTCCATTTTAAACTGCTCTGTTTGCTAATATTGCATTTTTTTTATATATATCCATATACATGAAGACCAATATCTAATATAAATTTATACATGTATCTCTTGATGCTAAGCAGAAAAGAAATCTGATGCTCTTACTATTCTGCTGAAAAAAATTATTTAAAAAGAAAATACTGTAGCAATAGGCTGAAATACCCATGTCTAAATCTGAATAAAGAAATTCCTTCACATGTAACCAAAATAAATCTCTGTGAGACCTAATCTTTTCCAAAAAATTGTTGTTATTAATTCTGTCAAGTAATCCTAGTGAGTTTGATGGGAGGCATGGGAAGACCAGAAGATTTTGAAATTAGTAGCAGGTCACTTACCTCTGTGCTGATCAAACACTGATGAGGTACTGAAATCCATTGTGGTCTATCTCATTATTTACAACCAGACCACACAAATGACATCTCCAGGGTTTTCAGGGAAGAATCCCATATATAACAGTAAATAATGCAATGATAGCTGTCGCCAGTCTTCTTGTAAGAGAATCGAACTTGCTTTACCACTGAAGATTATTGTCAAAGCAAGGACATTATCACTATCCTAATGGGAATGGTATATTCTGTTTGCTATGCACCCTCTTCAAATGAGATCCCTGGAAGCTTAGCTGATCTTCTGAAAAAACGTCTTAGCTTCAGTGAGTGAAACTGCCTGTAAGCGGCTCTGAGAGATGCTGCAGCTACCCAGCCTCAGCAGCAGAGCTCTGCCCGTAGAAAACAAGCCTCAGAGGGTGAGTGGGACTGGGCTGTCAGACAGAGCATGTGCAGAGCTGCCAGCGCAGTTTGGATGCAGACATCCTTGCTGTGCCAGCCAAGTGGCATGTGCTCCATTCACCGACAGCCCTGTGGGCAGGCTGCCTGTACCACTGTGCTGTCAGTATGTGTCTGAGGAAGGCCTGTGAAGTGATGTTTTCAGAGATTACCCAATTCCTGATTAACACCTGCGCAGAGAATCCAAATTAACAAGCCCTTTCTACCTTAGTTTAGTGCCATCCAGTTACAGTTAAAGTACAACGTTTCATGAAGGGATAATAATTGAGAACACATTACCATGGCTGAAGTGCATAGTGATAGCTCCAACAGCTTAGTGCAATAGGTATAATAGCTCACAGCGGATGCTCCAAACCTAGTTTTGCCAAACTGACAGTTGACCAACACCTCCACCCTATTTTTTTTGACTGGGCCTCTGCCTTCCTAAGTTGGGACACAGACTCTACTGCAAAGGGCTGGGGGGGGGGGAGGGGAACAACTCTTGTGAGCTTTGCTTTTAGCTGGGTTGTCTCTGTGGGAGAAATAAAAATAAATGGGCTGACTTGGAATTCACCTGGAGCAGTGGGTCACCAGCGGTGCCTAGGGGTTGGTAGATGGGAGGGACAGAACAATTTTGCTTAGCACTGACGCACTGGAAGAAACACATAACTACTGTAGAATAATGCAAACAAATATGCAAAAATTCAAAAAAGCTAGACACTTTTGAACCTCAAACAAGAACCAAAACAAGATCTATACTAAAGCTAACCATAGGTTTGGTCAGCATAAGAAGACCCTAGACTTTATTCATTGTGTTTATTCTGTACTGATGTTTTGACCAGTTCCTGTGACTACAACAGGTGTTAGGAATATAAAGTACATTTGGACACTGTAGGAGTTGTATCTGGAGCTGATTCGCATCCCAAGCATCTGCTGCTGAACCTTAATCTAAATGATGTGTTTGGGAATAGATAGTGGGTCCAGGAAGGAACACAGCCTCAACAGCGTCAAATGACATACCACAGCTGAAATTCTCAAAAATGTGGCAGTGTGACCTGCTCAAGTGTCCTTAACTGCGGAGAGGCATGTGGTGGGACTGGAGCCAGAGACTGGCTCCGTTTCATTTCCCTGCTGCTGACTGGTTTATGCTATGGATCACCTCAGGCCTTTTTTATATTAAGGAGGGATCCACTATGTAGCAAGTGTGATCTGTGAACAGAGTATTAGTTATGCAGATGGTCAGCTCTAACTGTATCTATCTAGTTTGATCAATTAAATGCTCACAGTTTAACCTGCCCTCCTGAGATGGAAGCAATGGGCTTTGGAGATTACTGGTCCAGTCTCTTGCAGTGCATTTGCCTGGGCATGAGATGCATTGAAGGTATGAGGCCAGGTAATTTTGGGGAGAAACACCCAGGTACTCAGGTATGCAGCTGACTCCTCATGGGTCCCAAAGGGAACAGAATACTCATTGTAGCACTGTGTGCGTATGCCAAGGGCTCAGCCTGCCTTCAGCTATAGGAAAGATAGGCACCTCTTCTGAGATAAGTGTCCACAGCCCATGAAGACAAAATGTGTTTGAAGGTCAGTAACGTCTGTCCTCTACATCCATCAGAAAAAAAGCAAGGCCAGTGCTTGAGCAAAACAGCTTTCCCCAATGTAGGTACAAGCACCATGTGAACACAGCTGTGTGTCTCAGCTATGGTGAACATGTCAAAGCTCAGAGGTTGCCAGAAACCCCAAGATTTGGGAGCCGGACTTGAGTAACTGACTTTTCTGGAAGTATCTTTTTATTTCTTCTTTAGAAGGGTTGAAGGAGATGTCTCCAAATTCATCAGGACCTCCTGTGCTCAGTGGCTGTGAAAACAACCCTGGCTATGGACAACTAACCCAAAAAAGAGGTAGATCCTGGTGACAGCTCTAATTTGTTAAAGCAGGTAAAGATGACAGCTTTAATTTGTTAATTTACATTTTTCTTTAATTTAAGCAGTGCTCCTGAATTTTTATGCTGTCAGCAGCAGCTGTTTGTTTTGGGGGTTGCATTTGGTGGGAGAAAGCCCTGGTGTAGAAAAATTACAAAAAGCAAGTATCAGAAACACTGTTTTTCTTTGTGTTTTTGTTTGTTTGCCCACATTTGCCAGTGCATTGACATTTGACTGTATGTCGGGTAGTTAACTCTCCTCTTTCTAACTTGTTTCATTAGGTGAATGCAAAAGTTGTGGTGAGACGACAGAGAATGGGCAAAACATATACTCAAATGCTATGTAAATGTTATTTACAGGGGTGCAGAGCAGGGCTGACGTCTGGCATTGCAGAGACCGAGAGATCTTACCGAGCGCTTCCAACTGGCAGACAGCACCCGCTCTGTGCCGCATTGCCAACACGAGCATAGACCCAGCTTACACATCTACTCTTCTGCTGCCCCTGCAGAAGACGGCGCATGTGGGCAAGGGTTCTGCATGCATTTTCACCTTGGCACAGCCAGAGCTTTGCAGGAAGGATGCTGTGCCTCCGCAGAGCGCCTGGAGCGGCAGTGCCCCCATCTGTAAGGAGCACTGCCAGCAGCCCGCACCGCAGGCCAGCAGCCGCAGCAGCTGAACGTTTGTTTCCCTGCTTTCTTCACTGGTGTGTTGCAAGCCTCAGTATTGCCTGGTAAGGCATGTCATCTAGTGAATGGGAGTCAAAATGAACCGAGGTACCATCAACTTTCGCTTTCTGTTCCCAATGAAATCCAGTAATAATAAATTGATTATAAAGTATTTAAAGTACCATGCTATATAGACTGACTCCTGATTGGACTTGGAGCTCCATCCTCAGTGCTGGGAGTGCTAGTACCAAGCTCAGACGTGTGGAGAGGTCAGAGCCCTAGCCAGCAGGAGGATTCAGCTGTGCTCTCTGGTGAGGACTGATACAGGTACACCTAAATGGACAAAATCTGTGTTGAAATCTCAGCAAATAAGAGTGGCTTGAGAAAGGAGAATAAAGTTACAGCTACACCTTAGAGGTTCCCATGTGAAATTCAAGACAAAGTGAGGATGTGTTGCTTCATAAAGTGAAATACCTCCTCTGCTAAGTCAATATTATTTTTTGTCCTTAACTTCAACAGGATCAGGGCATCTCCCATGGTATGATTTATTGGGACATCCTAGCAGCTGTGAGACAATTTTAGCAGCAAGCCAATCACACCTGAGAGTCCATTCTGTAATTGGAGTAGGGCTGTTAAACAGCAACTGGTTTTACAGGTACTGTTTTCCCAGATGATAACTGGTTTGTGATTAACTAAACCGAATTCATACTTTTTCTCAGACTGATTGTGCCCGCTTCAGAAGGAGTGGGAAGTCTCACACTGAGTTTATCACCCTTGCCGTGCTGTAGCTTTTCTTGTTACCCTCCAAAGACTTTCTCATGATATTTTCAGGTCTAAAACTGTGTTCAGTACCTCTGGTATGGTGTAAGGCTGGTTTGAAGACCCTGGCAGAGTGGGCATGCCAGATGTGCATATGGAGAAGCAGACGGGGTGAGTGGGGGTTTGTGCTCAGCCAGGAGAGTCAAGGTGTGTATTCTGTGTACACACCCCTATGTGATACCAGGAGGTGGGGCATGACACATTCGTGGTATTACACTGGTAAAGGGTAACCTATGTGCAAATCCTTGTTTTCTTATTTTTATGTTTTTATTCCATTATTTTATTATTTTAAAAATCTATTACTGTTTATTGTACAAGATAACAAAGAGACAAAAAGGTGTCTGTTCCAGGTCATATCAAAAGTTCACTTAGCCAGATAACTGCAGGGTCTAAATAGCACTCATCAGCAGCTGTCTGGCTAACTGCAGGGCAGGTGTGTATTGATACTTCCTCTGAGCACTGCCCTAGTCTCCAGCCTTTTTCAGGTAGTGTCCTGCAGAGCAATCTCAAAGGCAGTGCTGCGATTCTACGGAGTTCCAGTAGATGGTGGGATGGGATCAGCACTTGGGTCTTTGAACCAGCAGAAGCAGCTCTTAAGTAGAGACGCTTGCATTGTTTCTCTAGTAAATCCTTTTAAGTGGAGGAAGAAAAGTTCATTTGTGGGAAACCGGTAATCTCTGATATTATGCAGTGCATTAAGAATGTCTGCAAATTAATGAAGTGCCATTCCAGATATCGAATAACAGTACAGAGCATGACTAATCATCTATGAATGGTAAGCTTTGAAAGCCTTGGTGTAAACCTTTGTGACACTAAATTTGCATTGGTAAAATACAGGAAAGGCTTAACATGTGTTTTTACTTCTTTGGCTCCAAAATGCTCTATCTTAAACAAGAAAGATAGCATGTTTTTACTTCTTTGGCTCCAAAATGCTCTATCTTAAACAAGAAAGATAGCAAATTATAGGTGGACTGAAAACATTATCAAGAACAACGAATCATAAGGACAAAACAGACTGACTGGTCTATGTTTAAAACGAGAAGGGAGAGTCACCCATTGCAGCCCTGAATCAGGAGAAAGCAGCTACCTCTTCCCCAGTGGGTGGGGATGTACATGTTGGGAATCCATCTCCCCATGCCTCTGACTTGCTGGGACAGCTAAGTTAGCTCATCTTTGTACTGGATTCAGAGTTATAATACCTGATGGATGCGAGTGTCTTTTCAAAGGTATTGGCACCATTCTGCTTTTGTGTGTTTGCTGCAAAGGTTTTCCTGTTGGACACCCAAAACCAAGTTAGTGAGGGAATGTCAGCAACTGTGGGAGCACTACCTGCGTAACTGTGGCTGTGTCCAGGCTCTGCAATGGGACACGCATCCAGATCCAACCAGGAGCAAGGATACAGAAAACAGGAAATTTGGGTGACAAGTCAATTCTTGGAGAAACTGCTTAAAAAAGAAACTGTTCATCCCCTGCCTCCAAGCACTTTCATACTATATGAAAGGCAAAATGTATCCAGTCTAGTTAGCTTTGTTTGTAGAAAAGACAGGAATCTCTTTATTTGTCATAGGGTTATTTTATCACACAAGCCTCATCTGTTCC